TGTGTGTGTGTGTGTGTGTGTGTGTGTGTGTGTGTGTGTGCGTGTGTGCTATTAGCTCCCTGGGGACCTGAGCCACAGCTGGCTGAAAGTGCCAGATTTTTCTTTTCTTGCTGATTGTCGAATTTCCAAGAACGATCGAGAAAGTTGTATGTATTTCTTGTGTTAAAATAAAAGACAAATGGCAACTAATCTTGAAAAGTCCCCAAGCAGACAAAACCAGTTCAGTCATACAAACAAAACTTAATTTGCTTGTTTTGCAAGGCTAACTTGACCTGGGTCACTTCTTGCTTACGCCTCTGAAAATCCTAAGGAGACTTGAACTGTTTCCCGAGGTTGATATAAGGTGACTGCTAACCAATGGCTTATTATTTAAGAAAATTCTAATGTAATAACCAATCACTGTGAAGAAGAAAGTCACTACCTTCCCACTACATAAGCTGCTTTATAACAAGACCGTGTAATGGTCCGAGTGCCCTGGTTTGCACACTGTCCTTTTGGTGTGTGCACAGTAAATTTTTACTAATTTCTACTTCGGTGAGTCATTGGTTTTACTTCTGTTATTTCTGAACTTTTGACACTGGCATCTGTTTTGTTTGTGTGTTTATTTTTGTCCCCCCCCCTCGCCCCCGTAACTCACTTTGAGTAGCGTATTGAATTTTCAGTGTGTCGAAGGTATATATGGTTTTAGTTTTAATGGCAAATCTTCAGAGTTAATATTTTATCAGATGAAACCAATTAAAATGGTTTTCTTCGTTCCCATTTAGTTTATGACACTTTCAGCTAAAATCTATGCCTGTTGGGGAAATAATGTTTCTTGTTTGCCCTTCACCCTGACTGATAACATAACTCTCATTAACGGCCACAATGGGAAAAATATTAATCAGGATTTTTTCCAGCAGATGCACAGATGATGACATTCTCATTCCTTCTTTCTCCCATTCTGTCCCTCACCCATCAGTGGGCCTCTCGCCCGGTGTGTGTTTACTCTTGTGCACAGGCCATATCAATGGCCACTTTGCACACGTCAGAGGACAGAACTGACATAGTATCTTCTCCCCGTGGTGCTCAAGGTCAAGCGTACAAACCCACAAAACAAGGAGATGAGTCAGTACACCGTAATAAATGTTGTAAAGCAGAAACAGCAACAAAAAATTAAGCGCTCTCTGGGACCGACCAGGGTCTTCCTGTTTTTTGAACAAAATACTTGTTTGCCCAGTGGTCTCTCTCATGGGCCAGGCTCTGCCTTTCTGCCTCGGAAAGAGACCAATGGCTTTGCCACATCCTTGTACCCGTGCTTCGGCCAGTGTGTCTAGTAAGTGGGAGAGAACATTCGTCTGGACCGTGAGGCGGCGTCGAGGGTCTGTTCGCCGCCTACCACTCCAGCGGCAGCTCCTGATTAAATCTGCTGAGACTAGCGGGGTCACGTCAGTGTCGTGGGATTTAGAGGCGTCGCTCCTTCAGCCTGTCCCTTCTCTTTTGTGAGGTGCAGGATGACCCAGGTTTTCTTTTTCTTTGTTCTAATGTGCTCGAAGGAGAGACAGACTCCTCGGAATTCCAGGGTCATTTCGTATTTCGAAACGTATCTGTTTGGGATGACATCACATGACATGAGAGAGGTGTTAGCGGACGCTGTGCTACGGGGTAATCATGTTGCCCCGTAACATGATTATGTAAGTGCCTCAAATCAGCATGTGTACAACTTAGACTTACACAGTGTGTTCTCCGTCCCCATAAAAATGTTTCGGCACACAATGATGATATTCAGCCATTCATTTAAAAAAGGAACAGAAAAGAACGTGGCCTTGAAGATGGGAAGAACGAGATCCGATCGTGGGGGGGGGATGGGCAGAGAAAAACGGGCAGAAAGACGAATGGTGACAGAACGCCCTGACCCGGGCCTCCTAGACACCCCAGGAGGAGGGGTCTGCCTGGCTGTGTGTGGAGGGGAGAGAGAAGACTCCCAGCTTTCTGAGCAAGGATACAAAGAGGAAGCCGGCCGGGAAGCCATGTTAAGCGGAGAACCTGTATGTGTGGGGCTGGGGTGCTCCTGGGCCCCCAGAGCCCCAGGTGCCCCCCGTGACTCAGGCGCAGAGAGGTGGAGGTGCGAGGGAGCCCGAGGTGAGGGCTCAGGCCAAGCACGGCCCACGGCTATCACTGCCCCGGTGCCCCCTTGTGCAGAGCATCCAAGGCACACACACACGCGTCCTGATGCTCCCTCCAGACGTAGGAGAGGACGGTGAGTGTTCTGGGTTAGGAAGGCGTTCTGCACCAAGATAACAGGTGTGTGAGCCTGGAGTGAGAACAAGGCGCAGGCCAGGGAAGGAAGAGCTTCACAGAAGCAGAGGTTCCTGGGGTGCCAGCATGGCTCCGTGGGTTAAGCGTCCAGCTTCAGCTCAGGTCACGATCTCATGGTTTGTGAGTTCAAGCCCCGCATCCCTGCATCGGGCTGTCTGCTGTCAGCACAGAGCTGGCTTCAGACCCTCTGCCCTTCTCTATCTCTGTCCCTCCCCCACTCTCTCTCTCTCAAAATAAATAAAAACATTTAAAAAATTAAAAAAAAAAACTCAGCGTGCATGTGAGCATGTTGACATTTGAACTATTATTCTTTTGGGTGGGTTTCTCAGACTAGCAATCTATCAACAGCAGAAATAATAAACAGCAGGAGCCTTTGTTCAACTGTTGAATAGCATTTTTGTTCTGTAATCCACATTTCCCGTGACTATACTGTGACAACGGTCCAAAGATGGTGATTTTTCTGCTGGACTCCCATCTCCTTTGCCCCCTCCCCACCCCCACCCCCTCCCTCCATTGCTATAAACTATTCTTGTTCCATCCCAAGGGTCTCTCACTTAAGCCCTCCTACCCACCTTGCTGCCCGCTGGGGGGTGGCAGTCCCTGGCACCCCCTCCTGGCCTCTGGCTCGGACGATATCTTCTGTTGTCATGACGTCCCAAAGGATGGCTCGTGCCTGTCACTGCTCCACGGGAAGCCTGGCACTTCCATCTGCTGGTGAGGACTTCCTCTCAGAGTATTGTGGCTGAGACATCTCTGTACTGAAGTCACCTTCCCTGAAGCTCCCATCTTGTCCCCACCGTGCCTCGGTGCTGTGCATGGTTGTTGACGCTTTTCTGTATGCGGGGCAGGAAGACCCCAGAGTCACTGGCGTTGAATTTCCCACCAGCTGGGGACTGTGGTCACCGAGTCCAAATTAGGTTGACTTTTGCAGTAAAGACGTACAAGTTTTCTTGCACACTTAAGTCTGTGAGATGTTCCTTCGTTAGAATGTCTGTGGCCCTGTTGTGTAGGCTTGTGCCCTCTCTCTCTCACTCTCTCTCTCTCTCTTCCCTCAAAGACAGGCACTGTGTTTTTCATCTTCCCAATGTATAGCGTAATTCCATTTATGCTTGAACTTTATCGGAAGTAACACATTTATCCAGATAGCTCAAAATAAAATTAAGCCCTGATTTACTAAGGCTGCATATGTTATTATGAAGTCAGTTCGTAATCAGTAAGTATTCACTGGAGATGTTTCAGATAGACTTTTAAAAATAAATTCAGGGTAACATATGTCTGTGCATATCTTTTCTCTTTAAAAGAAATATTCTGAGTCTCTGAGCACTTCCATAGGAATGGAAACCTGAAAATATTCCTGTCCAAATTGTTCTTGAGATTCATGGATTGATAGGAAGCCTCAAAGCCGAAGACTTAATCCTGGTTTTGGAATAACTTCTTAGCCTTATTTTCTGTATTTTCAGGGTGATAATTATAATGTTTTGAGACTCAGGATGCTGATGGGTTGATTTGAGGAGCTTAATGATGGCTTTTAGGGAGTACTTCTAGTGGGTTTGCTGTCTCGCCCCCTGATTTGCAGGCTGGCACCAGGGCCTTCGCCAAAGCACGCCGGGGACATTAGCACACATTTCAGGTCTGCGTCCTGATATGTGGTATTGGCCGTGCTGTGACTCTCGCTGGCTAAGAGGCCTCCTCTCTGTGCTCTTTGCAGCCGGTCTGGGGAGATGCCTGATTCACAGGCAGTGCTTACAGCCAAGCTTAGGTGTAGGTGAGCACAAACACGCAGTGACCGGAAAACCTGGGGCGGGGAAGAGACCGGGCCAGAAACAGACGTTCCATTGTCCAGGAGAGGAGAATTTGGGACTGCGAGACAGAGAAGAGTATCCCAAAGGGCACGCTTTAGACAGAAAGAGGAAGGAGGTGTTCCGGGTAGAGGAGGAAGAGAGACAGAGAAGGATGCACTTCCCAGGCAGGAAGGAGAGGAGGTATCCTTTGCTGTTGCCCTGGGCGTGTTGTGTCTGCCCTGCAGGGGTGGTGGGGGGGGCGCGGAGGGGGTGCAGGTCAGCACCTCTTTCCAACACTAGGAATCCGAGATAGTCTCCTGAGGATTCCTCTCATCTGACGGTTTCCACGGGACGGAACAGAGCTGGCGACCGGGAGCCACAGGTAGCTGTACTGCACGCTGGGTGTCTGGACTTGGACGTGGACGAGGCTGAGGGGGCCGAGCGGTCGCCACCGCTGGCTGCCCAGTAGCTGAGAGCCATGGCATAGCCGGTGTGCCTGCCCCACACCCAGCACTGGCGATTGAAGAGGTCCGGGGTGGGATTCGGGTGTCAGCATTGTTTTAAAAAGGTTTTAATGTTTTATTTACTTTTGACAGAGAGAGAGAGAGAGAGAGAGAGAGAGAGAGAGAATGAGACAGAGCAGGAGCGGGGGAGGGGCAGAAAGAGAGGGAGACACAGAATCCACGCAGCGGGCTCCGGGCTCTGAGCTGTTGGCACAGCGCCCGGCCTGGGGCTCCAACCCGTGAACCGGGAGATCAGGACCTGAGCCGGAGTCGGACGCGGGCCAGACCGAGCGCGCCCGTCAGCGCTTTGGAACGCCGTGCGAGCGACCGGGCTGGAGACGCGTGGCGGCTTCGCTGCTTGGTGGCTGGCGAGGCCCGCTGACCTTCTGTCCCTTTGCCTCCTTCCCTGTTGCCCTCACAGATTACGGCACCATAAAGAAAGTGCGGGCGCCCCTGGCCCCGGCTGCCGGCAGCTGCCTGCTGGAGGAGATCGAGCTCTTCCCCGAGCGGCGGGGGGAGCCCATCAGGAGCCTGCAGCTCCTCCACAGCCACAGCGCCCTGTTCGTGGGCCTGCAGGAGCACGTGGCCAAGATCCCGCTGAAGAGGTGCCAGTTCCACCGAACCCGCAGGTAGGCCAGCCCCGGGCTGGGCCCCGGCCCTTCGCATCCTAGCGAGCCCCGCGCCGTCCCAGGACGCTGGGTGCTGGTGCAAACCGCTTTGCGGGCATGAGAACGACCCCCTGGTGCCTCCGGACAGATAGCCGATTGGTGACACCTGTAGGCATCGGCCCGGGTTAAGAGAAATTCCCCCGTGATGACCCAGATCTTTGGTGTTCCTGCATCGGGCCGGTGCAAGTTTGCTTTGATCGGGATACCTGTAATGTAATATATGTACGGAGCGGGCAGAGCATGGTAGCAAGTGCATCCTGTCGGCCCAGAGCTAATCCCCTGAGGAGGAGCGATGTGGGACCCCGCCCCGGGGGCCATCTCCCTGTGTCGGCTCTCTCCTGAGGCTCCAGGACCCTACAGGCTGGGAGGAGGGAAGGAGAAGGAAGTCCTGGGGACGCAGGGGACCACAAGTGCCGTCACGTCTTTCCTTGCTCCTACTCAACTCTCATTGGCCATGGGGTGCCCACGGGGACCACAGTGGCCTTTGAGGCTCAGTTTGGAAAAGTGCTCAAGAGACCGTCAGGTACTATGCACACTACACGCTTGACCAGCACTTTAATGTTGGAGCGTTGCGTAACTGCTCTGCCCCCCAACAAAAGATCGCCCTTGGGGAAATCACAATCTCATACGTTCTTAGGGATCCGCGATCTCAGTAACTCCGTCCCCCAACGTAGCACGTAATGGCAGATCTGGCGTAGAAATGGACTGTTTGCGTATATCGCTCACAGGTACCATACACAGGTCATTCTTTCCCCAACAGGTGCCCCGTGGCATGAGCTTTGGAGCTCAGAGACTGGGAGTCACAATGCAGGCTGCCTGTGCTATTTCTTGACCTGGTCACTAAAGTATCTTAGGCCTCACTTTCACATTCAACACAGGCAAACTGCTATAGATTTAAACGGTGTAATGTATACCATTTAAAATTCAGGGCCCTTTACAAAATGGACAAAGAAGATTGGGCATATGTATTACAACGGAATATTACTCGGCGATCAAAAAGAATGGAATCTTGTATTTGCGGCAACATGGATGGAACTGGAGTGTATTATTCTGGGTGGAATAAGTCAGTCAGAGAAAGGCAAATACCGTATGATTTCACTCCTATGTGGAATTTGAGAAGCAAAACAGATGAACGTAGGGGAAGGGACGGAAGGATAAGATAAAAACAGAAGGCGACAAACCATAAGAGACTCTTAAATACAGAGAACAAACTGAGGGTTGCTGGAGGGGAGGTGGATGGGGGGATGGGCTAGCTGGGTGATGGGCGTTAAGGAGGGCCCTTGTTGGGATGAGCTCTGGGTGTTACATGGGAGTGACGAGTCACTAAATTCTGTTCCTGAAACCATTGCTACACTGTATGTTAGCTATCTTGGATTTAAATTTAAACAAATAAACATACACGGTGGGTATCCCCTTGTAGAAGGAGAGTTTTTATGTATGATAAAAATCACCACAAGATTCCTTTCTAGAAGATTCTAGACAACGGTGTATATTACGTGGTGCCTCTTTTGGTATCAGAGTGTTGAGGAATAATATTAAAGGGTTTTCTACCCAACAACGATGCTATGGTGAGCGATAATAACAAATAGTGATATTTATTAGCAGCTATCTTTTTATAACGTTAACCACTGGCCGCTTGAAATTTGTTGATTTGTGTTTCCTGCAAGACTAACCTGGCGCAGGAATGATTCTGCCCAGTTGCCGACGGTCAGTGGGTGACGGGAAGGGTTGGCGTCTTGCCAACAGGCACGTCACAAGTTGGGATGCCCCTGGAAGGGTGCCAATCTTCCAACCAGGAAGCCCTGAGCTCTAATGGCCTTCCGTGGGCATGACACAGGGTAACACACAGGAAGACACAGGCCTGTGCTGTCTGTAGGGTGTTTGGGGGACCAGAATGAGACTTCATGGCTTGGAATGCAGGAGGCACCGCATCCTTTCCGTGGTGCTTTGCCTCATCGAGTGGGGATTACAATAGCCCGGCTCCTCGTATAAGCGCGACATCGGAAGCTAAGTTCTGCATCAAGTCAGGGAATCGAGGCCTCATCATGCCCACCTCGTCTCCTGCGTGGCTGCCTGTGGAGCCCAATCAGGAAACCAAAGGAGCTGGCCACCACCGCGCACAGCAGCCCGGGGGGCGTTCCCGGCTCCCTCGACAAGGCCACTTGTCTGTGTTCATCATGTTCCTGGGAGGAGAAGATTATACAGTTATATCCAGAGCAGAATCTTCCTGCTGTGTACTTGTCCACCCTCTCGAGAAGAGCCGCGAGAGATTAGAGCTTTATCCTAAACTGATAGATTGTGCTTTTCTGTGTCCCCACACTCAGAATGGGTTAGACTGTGATTGACCCTTAAGTATTCCATCTGAGAGAAGAAAATCTGAAGACTTAAACCCAAGCGTTTCTGTGGATTCTTTCCAGTGTGTTCTTTGCCACCCCCTTCCCACAGAAAGACAAGAAAACCTCCATTTTTTGTCCATTTTTCAGACACTAGTATCTACGTGACTAGTTTCTTTTTTGGTGAATTAGGGGGAAGGTTGTTTTGTTTTTTGACGAGCAATTTTAATTTTCTAGACATGTGTCCAAAGAAGTACATTGAGTAGGAACAGGAGACCAATGGAGTAACGATTGAGTATTTCTTTGTTAAATATATTTTCCATAGTAGAATATAAGTAATTTCATTTGTTATTAGAAAAATCAATTTCATAAATGAGTTTTATAGTGTTTGGCAAGAGAAACGGAGCTTAACTAAATTACCTGTCTCCTTCCAAATCATATTCACATTAAGAAATTTTTTAATGTCTAGTTTTCAAAGGTGGTGCACAGTTTCACGTCTGCTAAAAGGTTTATAATTGATATTGATACACTTCCACGCGTTGGCACTGTCCTAGATCTCCTCATCATTTCTCTTAGCCATTACACCCCGAGATTTAAGTCACCCATCATCTCCATTTCTCAGTGGAGGAAACGGTGGCTCCGATTTTTGGATCCTGCCCAAAGGCCACATACATCGTGTGATATGAAGCCCAGGTTCAGGGCTGGGACTTGGCCTCCAAGGCTCAGGCTTTCTCTTGGGTTCACTGTGCTGCCCTGGGACAATGAGGACTTCAGCTCAAGGATCAGGTTTCAGTGGGAACCAGTTACGCCATGGCACCGATCACGTGTGTCTCTGAGCGCTGGAGCTAATGAGAAGGGCATGAACTCAGACATGTCCACTGATGACAGTTTAGCCCTGGCCCCTTCCCATTCTTTCTTCTCTATTATACTTGTTACCAGGCAACACCCAGCATCCCAGAAGTTTGATACCCGCTTGCTTTTTCTACAGTGAATTTCCACCTCCACTTCTAGAGATGATCCCAGAGCCTCAGGGGAGGCTGGAAAAAGAGCTTGCCTGTGTGTTCCTTTTTCATTTTTTTAAAATTTTTTAAATATTTATTTCTGAGAGAGAGAGAGAGACAGACAGAGCATGAGCAGGGGAGGGGCAGGGAAAGAGGGAGACACAGAATCTGAAGCAGGCTCTAGGCTCTGAGCTGTTAGCACAGAGCCCGATGCGGGGCTCAAACTCACGGACAGTTGAGATCATGACCTGAGCCGAAGTCGAACGCCCAACCAACCGAGCCACGCAGGCACCCCATTTGCCCATGTGTTCCAAGCTCTGCACCCATTGTAACTTGGAACAAACAGCACTGTGTTTTTAACTAGATGTCACTGTTTTCCTCGGAAGGTTATTTTGGTAGAACAATATTTAAAAAATACATTTTAGTCAAGTTCAACCTCAAAAAAATGACCGAAAAGATTTTGATTTTAACTTTTTTTTTTTTTTTTTTTTTTTTTTTTTTTTGCATAACCATTTAGTGAATAGCATGAGAAAATGATGTGAATGACACAGTCAACTTATCAGAAAGGGTGGTTCCCTCTGCGCATGTGAAGTGCAAGAGAAATTTTTCCTTTTCTTGTGTAGCCTTTTGTACTCCAGGATTTATTTACCATATATATGCATGCGGTTGCTAAAGTGAATCACCACTGACTGACTTTTGAAGAACGTGGGGACCTTGACAGGCCCGGATGTGGGTACTGCGGGTGACAGTGGAAGGTAGGTAAGCCGATGCCATCCCATGGGCCACGTCATGTGCACTTGGCACAAGGTCAGGTCTCCCCAAAGCAGCGTGAGGTCTTTGAAGTCGGGAAAGGTCTCTATAGAGTACAAAGGATGGAACAGCCAAGACCTGCACTACCTTAGTCTCGTGTAAATACGAGCGTAAAGTCATAACCTGCCACCCGAAGGGGGACAGACTGTGGCGGACAGCTGAGGGAGTCCGCATCTCAGTACTTCAGGAAGGAACGAGTGATCACAGGACCTGGGCCGTTAGCCTTCCCCAGGGAATACTGTGGCCTTCCACTTGGCCCAGCTCATTGACGCCCTTCAGCCTCAGGAAAGGCGAGTTGTGATGGGAAGGCCTTTGATTCAGACTTGCAAGTCAGTTTAAGGATTGTGCAGCAATTCGATCAGTGGGGCAGCAAACTGTAAAGAACCAGAGGGAAGATGCTTTAGGCTTCACAGGCTGCACAGTCTCTATTGCAGCTACTCAACCCTGCCCTTGTAGCATGGAAGCAGCCACAGACCATACGGCGTGAGCGTGGCCGTGTGTCAGCAAGGCTAGCAGATTCGTCGGGCAAAGGAAGCGTTCGCTTTTTGGTGCCGTTTGTTACAAGGAAAATAAGAGCAGAAGAGGTGTTAGCTGCCCATGCCCCTTGTCCCACTGGATGGTGCCACAGCAGAGGGACGGATCAGCATGCAACATCGAAGCGGGGCGCCATGTTGCAAAGCAGCCAGCTGTGCTACGGCTTAGCGGTTTCAGAACCTGTACCTGTACCTCAGTGGGGGTGAGGGTGGGGGGCACGAGGCCTTCGCCCTCACTAGAACCTGGGAGACAATGAGAAGCAGTCTCATGACGGCCTCCCTGA